AGATACTATCATATGTGCTATATATAGTAGGCAAATCTTGTTAATTAACGGTGTCAGATTTTTGAACAAATAGTAGATCGCAAGATTACGAGGGGCACACAAAGGTTGTCTATAGAATATGTGCGCGTTTGAACTTGACATTAACATTCATTCAAACATGTATGCATAATTTGAAAATGCAATAAAAACGTCACATACTTCAGGTGCTGTGTCATGATTTTACATAACAAAATCAGTATTTCAGAAAACATTAAATCATATTTTTTTTGTAAAAGATGTTTTAGTAGTAGTATCCATCTTAGCCCATCATGATTGCCTGAGTATTTTCATCTATTGGGATTGTTTCACATTATACAACTTTATTTAATATGCCGCCAGTACCGTCGGAATACGTAACTTGGTGCACTAATTGCTCGGTGTTATTGGAGACAGTCAGCATGAATCTACGCGTCCCACAAAAGTATCCTTTTGTTTTGAATATCCTGGAGAGAATAATATTACTTTAGCGCAGACAACAAAGGACCTTTTGCTAACCTTGCCTAGCTAATGCCGCGGCAATAATAACGGCTTATGCAGAATAGGTAATTATTTTCAGATACATCCCGTTCATAATAGTTATTTGATATATTTCGCAGTATTAGTATTCAGTTGTCAATCGATATATATTCCCAACTCTATGATTATATAAATGTTCAGTGATTTAAAAAATATGGTAGAGCTGTCGTGAAATAAGTTCGATGCACATATCCCTAAAGAACTATGGTCACAAAACGGACTACCAATCGATTGATTCGTTGTTTCTGCCGTGGAACGTAATGCTGTACAACAATCACCTCGTAAGTGCCGTTTGCGATCCCGCTGTAAAGTTTATTTTAAAGAGTTACTGATAACTAGCACACGGTTTATCCATTGAAATCACAAAGAATCTCTGACCATATTTCAATCCACACATCTTAGTATATAACATGTTGAATTCAAAATCGGTGACCAGCGTACCACACGCTTGCTACGTGCGGCTAAACAGAGTATTGGATCTGTCCAGATTGGGTCAGTCGTCTCACTGACTCACTTCTACGCCACACGTTACACACGATTCTATTTTAACCGCTCAGAGCGTGCGTGTAGGCCAAAGGTGAAAAAGCAAATTAAAGTATACGCGAATGGATATTAGATGCTGAAAAATGATATGTAAGGCTGAGTCAACTCTGACTGTTTGAGTGTTAAAAAAACAATGTATTTATTGTAGCCTAAATCAAAATTTATTGGATAACTTGAAACCGAGAGCTACGCCACTGACAAAATTAGCCACAAAAGTGTACATACGACGGGCACATGACAACTTCTAGTTTATATGGAAAAAGCAAAGGGGGAATGACAACGAACATTTAACATGTTTGGTAATAACAAAAAATATACGCGGCTAAAACGATTACTCCTATGTGTTAACTCATATCACAAAACATTTTAATAGTAAACATTGACCATGGGTGGCAGAGTTGTTTGTCCATTTCAATCACATGAACTTTAAACAAACTCCCAACCACGCAACGATTAAAACGTGATGACTCACGTGATCGAACTGTTTGGACAGATATGAACTTTACCACCGTTTCCAGTGTTATTTATATGCATCTCAGTGAAAAAAAATATATACACGTCCCAACCACACTCCTCCTGCTGTAGTAACTTAATACGGAACATTTATATCACAGTGCAGCCAAGGGGATCATTACAATCCCACCGTTTATGTACAGATATTACGCTATGTGGTTTCTATAAAATAAACTAATCAACTGTGCAGTGGTGTGAAAGCATTTAATGTGGAGACATTATGACGATTATAGCATAATTATTATCCAGGTGTTTTATTTAGGTATTTGGGACCTCTAATAAAATTAATTTTCTGAAACTATTACCAATTGTTATTTTATATTGTATTTATTTTTATTTGTTGCCAAAATTATATTAATCGTGTAGTTTATTGCAGAAAAGATGTTTTATATTTTTCATTACGTGATATTATATTCCCGAATAGTATTACATTTAATGAGTGGGAAAACATCAATTTATATTCATTTGATCACACGTTTTTTGGGGGTGGGGGTGGGGGGTATATCTATGTACATACGCTCACTGCAAATGAGGCCATGGCTGTGATGATAAACCTTTTGTAATGGTGATTTGGATATGAACAAGTGTTCGAATACGTGGTACAAGAAACGACGCAGCATTGAACCAATTACACACAATGACAGGATACAATTGCCTTCATCAGCAAGCTGTCTTTTCGTGTTTGTTTTTCAGGTTAAAATTTTAGGATAAATGGATTAAGTGTACAGTTCCAATTAATAATGATTTGCCTATGAAAACTGTAATATACGATATTGAAGGTTATGTCCTACTGCTTTTGTATAACATAGTTTTATGTAAGTTACAATTCACGCAGCAAATCATCTGTTTGCGAATGACGCATATTAAAACATGCGTATTAGTTAATAATTCCAATCATTTATATAACAAAATAACCCAGGGAGGAAAAATCAAATTTTGTTAATTAATATACGAAAGAAATACCATTACAAATTCCATTATTAAATTCCTTGCTCACAGGCGTTTATTTTAACGTGGTAGCTTCAAGCTAATATTCGAAAATACAATTCCAAGACATCAGACATCAACACAAGATATTCGTAATTTGTTCGAAATATATATATATAACAAGATTTACCAACATATGGTAAATATTGTTGACGTTAGATGATAAGTGTCCAACATATACGGAAAATGTTACCAACAGCGCTAAACAATCGTGCCGTATCAAGGGGTTTGTCACCGGGATGTCTCCCATTTAACTCTGGTGGCAGTTGCTATCTGTAGTAAGTAAGGCGGCGATAATGACAACGGATAGGATAAATATTTACTTGGGCGTTCTTTAGATTTGAAGAGATCAGAGTACAACAATATTTATAAATTTTGATACGGGTTTGGATTGGAACATTTGCAATGTTTTCAGTATTTGGGGGAAATGGGTCATATCCATATCAGTGATGATGGGATTTATTTAAATAGATGCCTTTGTTTAAACAAATGTCAGTCATATGCATGTGTTGGTTAAATAAACATTGGATACTACTTTCCAATAGAAAGTTCAAAATTGAATTGAACTTGACAATGATTCGTTTAATACAATTTGTAACACGAAAATATACACAGTGTAACAACTAAACAAACAAACAAGGTCAAGCACTTATCAAAGATATTCGTTTTCATCATTGTAATCGAATTAATATAAAAGAATATAATTTGAAAAAAAAAATGGAATTTCCCGCAACCATATCTCTAAATCAGTTGCCAATATCAATTGTGCAAAGACGTCATTATCCTTTTAAACGAGTGTTTAGTGGGATTTGCCCGGATGGCTTATAGAATGAAACTCAATCTCAATGTAATTCTGACATTCATTAGATTTCTTACAAATCTCCCCTATATAAGATTGTACAACTCATTTCAACAACAAAAAAACGCATACATTAACAAGTATATCTTAGGCCCGCAACGTGATCATACGGGTAAACATTTCATATTCTTCAATTTCAATAGTGTTCAATGATATTTGCAGCATCGTGAGCAGAGCCTAGTAGTTCGGGTTGTTATTGTTACATTTTCACTTTATGAAACGCATCAAACGTTTTAAAAAAAATTGACGAAATTAACGTTTACGAAATTAACGTTAACGCTATGTTTTCCTGTGTTTAGCGACATGGCTGTTGTTAAACTGTTTTCACGTCGCAGTATGTTATGTTCGGTAGACTGCACACGAAGAGGACATTGTCCGATGTCGATGTAAATCATTAGTAAATGAACATGCATTAGGGGAGAAAATAAAAATATGCAATAAAGTGGATGTTCCTAAATAAGTTATTGAGTGATATCAATAATAAATGACCGAGTCACTATTGATTAGAAACTGTGGTTATTCAGTTTGAAAATAAATTGTTTAAGGACGATGGAGCTACAGATATATCATGTATTTCACGATCCAGATGATGTGCACTGAGACGACGGTTTTCATGGCGACCATAACTATTGTTTCAGTTAGAACGACGGCGCACAGCGACATAGACATGCAAATGCGCCCTATAGATAGATCAAATAACTGAAAACAATAGAACAATTATTCACTTTGTATATAGTATAAATTCACATAACAAAAATCCAAAAGGCCATGAGTGATGTTCCCATAGCAACAAATTGCATGTTCAGATGTCGTATAAGGTAGTTACGTAAGCGCCGGGAACGGAACATTAATTCCGTTTCTCGTCTTAGTTTTCGAACAAAATAATTTCATCAACAAAAAAATCATCGCCGATCGTCAGTATATTGTAATGCTTACCGGATAGTATACATAACGTTTGAAACAGACAATGTAGTCGAGCGATTGTATAATTCCCACTCTCTATGTCAGTTTGAGTGATAAACGATTATTTTAAAAGACAAATTTGGTGACGTATATACATTTTGACAATCAATTGCAGTACATATAGCGATGCATCTAATCATAAGTAAATGTTTATATTTGAACGATTGTCAATAACTCATGTCTTGGGAACGATGTCCCATTGCATATGCTAATGTCGATTGTTTCATGTTCAGTCTCAAGTGTCTCCTTATACAGAGCACTTCCTCCATTACTAATATCTGAGTGTACAGAAGGCAACTTATTACTCGCTGTATTCGAACATCTTTAAATAGTTTCCCATTAAACACGAGATAAAGAGGTATTAATGTTCAATGATGTGTTAAGCTTCGTGCTAAGCTCGACTCGTTACAAATAAAATTACAATAAAAGGCAATACTGATTCGATACAAATGTCTCTCCTTTTTAGAAATAATTTGGGAATTATAAAGAATAAATAGAGGGTGATCTATTTGTAAAATAATAAGCTGTCATCGAAATGAAATGTCTTAACATTCATGTTCATAACAATGACGTGTCTTACCTTTTACAACTGAAGAGACTGTATTTAGTGATGATATGATGTCATCCTGTGAGGCTTCGCTGTCAAGAATGAGAAATTCCGTGACAATTAGGTCGTTTGCTTGCAAACTGAAAACAATGTCTTTGGCCAAGTCTAGCCAGTATGTTCCCGCGATAGATATCATTACAGAGTATTTCCATTGAAAATGCAACAGTGTTGCAGAAAGAGCATTATATGTTCTGCTGTTTGAAGTCACTGTGCGTGAGAATGTCTTGTATGTACTAGAGTCCGAGAGAACATCGTCAGTGCACATCCATGATACAACCGGCAAAGTCCAGCGACTAGCTAGTCGTGCCACAGGTTCGCACACGGACTGCTCGATCGGGCCTACTATTGCATCTACCGCAATTTCAGTTAGCAACTTAACTAAATCTACTAGTTCGTCTGTTGCAGAACAGTTCGAATTACGCAACTCGTAGTCCAGATGGAATCCATCCAAAAGATTTGTATCTGCATTAATGTTTTCAATAGCCAATTCGGCAGCAATTTGTGGCAGAGCTGGCGAGTATACTGAGTCACATCCCAATGGCACCATGACGCCTAATGTAAAGTTGGTACTGCTGTCGCATAGAGACATTATACTCCCTACAAATATAACCACAACGTATACCCAAAGGAAGCAGTATGAGTTTCCACATGTGACTTGCATCAAATGCATGAGATGAAGGATACCCATATCTCGTACTGTCTCTTCCAACCAAAGATGTTTCTTTAACAAGGTACGAGCCTCACTCTTCTGTTCGAAATCCCAGGTATTCGGCTTTTATGGACTAGTTCGGAAAATGAACGTGCATCTAAAGGGAACCATTTTCGGTGAAACGTTTCCCACGAATTGGAAAAAGGCGGTGCATAAACGAACTCGTGAAAAGAAAAGAAAAAAAACCATAAACCACAACGTTCGTTCAAATCTGAGCTACCAAGCAGTTCAGCTCCCTTAAGTTGATACAGAAAATTCTGGAAGATCCCATTATACATGGGTGTGATCAAACTGCATAACAGGAGAGGCTGAATTACATTTTAGATTGAAGATACATTGATGAACAATAGTTAAAAGAAGAACGTCGAATATCTATACTGCTAGAGGGTGTACTTGTTTTTCACCCTATGATAAGCACAAGTTGTATATATGGTTTTAAAACATTTTTTTTATTTAACTAAGTACGCATTGCCAATGGCATTTTTCCAACTTAACACTCCAACCATACTCAATACATAATTATTCACTTCACACATACTTAAACAGGTTTAGTGAATATAATTATAATAAATGTAACGCCGATTGCAAGTTGATGCTTTCGTTATGCCATATTTCATCAAATAACTAAATCCATACTGAGTGTGTGTGTGTGTGTGTGTGTGTGTGTGTGTGTGTGTGTGTGTGTGTGTGTGTGTGTGTGTGTGTGTGTGTTTTACCTTTACAGTAAAATATGAATTTGTCATTCGTCAAACATATATGTATATTCTTGGAATCTGTGTATCGTGAAAAGCTCACGATAACCAGTGACTGCACTATAGTTATCGTGAGCTTTTATTTAAACTGCTTGTTAAATATTTGCATGAACTTACACAGCCATAGAAATCGACGCATGCAATTTGGAGAGATACGCGGGCATGGGGTAAGATACTCAACTATTAATAAACACTACGATTTAGCAGTAAGTGTTTATCCATCACGTTTACATAGTAAGTAATGCCAGTATGTGAATATAGTGTCATTCGAGACTCGCTCTTCAAGAAAGTGGTATCAGTAAAAATGTAACATAAGACCAGTTTGTACAAGGACGTGGGTGTCACATGTTTAATTGTATTAATTGAAAAAGTCTGTATTTTCGTTAGCATTTCACGAAATGCATCATGTTATTTTAACGGAGCTGTTTAATGTCAATTGTGACGTAGCTGTAGCATGTACAGTACAGAGGGTTATGCTGTGAGTGATACTATCCCGGTATAGTCTTTTAAAGTGTACTTTCAGATAACTGAGACCCGCCTACGTCATCATTCACAAATAACAAGAGAAACTCACCAAACTACACATTTCTCCTCTGTCAAACGCACCAAAAAACGAGAACATTACGAAAAGCTAAGTACAACACACGTTTTTGCTAAAAAGACCTACCTCAGGGAGCAATTAGCATGTTTGTGAAATTATTTCTGATACATTTTTCGGCAATTGACGTTTTACTGAACAATAATTCAAGTATTCACCAGATTGGGTTATTCTGAATTAATGATCAATCTGTAAAACACTTCAACTATTGTTGACAACACTCATGCTGCTTACCATTATCATACCAACCCAATCGAGGTAGGCTCGGAAAAGTCAATCATTTCCATTCTCCTTCTTATACACGTACTGAAGCTTGCTTTATTTTAATGAGGCTCTTTCTGTATCCCATGAATATATTCTATGAACCATTAACGGTAGCCATTTAAATACAAGTCCATTATTCCGGAGGTTGAGAATTATGAGATTATGAAAACGTGCTGGAAAACATGATGCAATCATTTTATTCTAAACATAGTTGCCGCATTCATCTTACTCCAATTATTTCACAAATCACAGCCGACAGGCAGATAATTAACAGCGGTAAGTAATATTACGTTGATAATTATCATCAATCGTTCACAGCGCCATGTCGGTGAATTGGTTGCAAAATTAAAACCACTCGATGTATGGGAATCATGGCTACTTGAGCACGTACAATGGATTGTACAATGGATCGTCATTTCCACCAACCCCAATATTAACATGTGTGTGTGCACAAATGTCACGATATTGAAGCTGTATCAAACAAAGCAAACAAGTTGTAGCCTTCAAATATCTACTAATATTAATATCATTTAGTTGTACACCAATAGAGGGCGATGTAAACAATATTAGCTCCGCGCTTCACTTCACTTCCGGTGTGAAAATATGTATATTATTAGGCATTTTGGAAATTTTAAAAGTATCCGAACCGAATTGAAGATGCGTTTATGCAAATAATTTTTGAATGTTATTATAAAAAATGCGTATCTGGAATTAGCGTCTCAGAAAAAAAAACATGAAAATGTTCAACATCGTGACAAGAAGACAGTTAAATTCTACGGAAGAGCGGAGATTTTCTGTTCGCTGACTTAAGATAGAACTTAAGATAGCGAAACATAAATAATGTCAAACTGAATTGTTGCATACTCAAATGTAGCGTTAGTATTTTTAATACAAAGTGACAAACACTGACAGGGTTGCAGAAAAACACGTTATCACTTGATTTGGCGTTATGCTCTGACCCCAGGTTAAAAAATATTACCGGGGTCAAAATAGATAGTTTTGTGATGAATCGAATATTGCGGAATAGATCATTACCGTCTTCTGTCAAATGAAGGAGTACGTAATATCAGTTCTTATATAATCGTATTCCATCTTAAATGGCACAGAAATGCAATGATTGTTTGATAACAACTTCCAGTTGGGAAGTCCGATGCTTGTATTATTCCGAAGATTACTAAACCAGCGCCGTTGAATTTGTATTTGGTCTAACACGTCTTTCAAATAACATAATTTAAAATGACCATATATTTGTAATGCATAACAGATTTATAGCATTTATTTCAGAATCAATTAAAATTGAAATAAAGTAATACTAGTATATAATTACTTGTTTCTCTATTTTAGGGAGATTTTTTTTCATAAGCTTACAATAAGAAACATTGACAATTTTGGACCCACCCTGTTAATCTAACGTCGCATTAAGCATTGTGCCTGTCACTTGAAGGTCATGAAAGGTAGTGAATACAAATGCATAGTTGTTAATTTGTTCGTTTTATCTTTATACAAAGAGTGGAATGATTTACTATGTGACATTAAATGATTATGAATCGCGTTTCAATGAGCATTTACGTTCTGTAATGTCGAGATTCGCGAAGAGTAACAATTTCTCTCTCAGTACTCGACAGTTTGAATGAATTCGTTAAGCGTTTAATACTACTATTGAATACGTGAATACTCCTTGGTATGATGAATGGTGGAAACATGACTTTTAGCCAAGATTTATCAGTGTTTTTTCCCCCGAATATTATCAGATTATTCATGAATTTAATATCCCCATTAAAAATTGTTTCACCGATAAATTGCATTGAGCTTCACAAATAGTGTTTTTTGTTGTTGTTTTTTTAATCTTTCGCTAAAAATGGAATACTTATTAGTGTCACACGAATACTCTAGCAAATCCGATAGTGCTGCCTGATGACAAAGGAATATCGGGACTATGTGATAGAAGCCTTGAAGAAAATATACAAAAAAGTTGATTATTTGTACACAGGTACAGTATTTATTCTGTGAAAAACAAACGGCTGAGAGGAACTGCTGCTCTTTAGAGCGCGATAGCGAAGCGTGAATAATGAGCGAGACGCAGCCCATCCTATTATTTAAGCGAACATCCCCGTCCGAGTCCCGTTCTTTATTATAATACACCGAAATGAAGACAAATATATGCAATACAAGACAGTACGCTTGAAAAGAAATATATCGACTGTGTGGTTGGCGAGTCGGGATTCGCCGACGCGCGCAAGCAAATGGCTCATTTTTGCACAATCATGGTAATAATCATGATTTTATTAATGTAAACGGATCATTATGCGTTTAATTTATTGTTTAATTTATCTCAAAACTTTCCAACGCATGTTGCGTGTCACTATACAAAGAGTTTATTAAACAAAAACGGCTAAATACGTAACTTGGCAATGAATAATAGTGAATATATTTCTTTGATTTCTATTAATTAGGATGTATTTCTGAGTCACTATATTGACACGGTTCAGATAATTCTTATTGTTGATTATAATTGATATTCTTGTGAAATGAACCTAGGTGGGAAGCTGACCTAATTTATTTACGAGAAACTTTTTTGGGTGTTTTTAGTACGCATTTTGATGTAGAAACTGGAATACATGTGTCTTACGTACGACACGCCCATTACAATACGTTGCTTTGCTTTGACTTTCCAAATCACTTTTCGTGTAAACAAGTATCACATCATGACTGTACAGGGAAGTGATACTTCATATCACATGAAACATGAACGCTATTTTTCCAGATCAAGTCCAACTGACCTACTGGCTATTACATTGTGAATATTTGACTATTTATGTGCCACTATGTACACCATGTGTTACAGATTTGTAGTAGGGAAACGAATTCTGGGTATAATTATAGTGTACTCATTTTAGTGGAAAGATTGAATTCATAATGGCCGATGGATACCACTGCTAAACTATGAAACATGGACATTGTATTGAATAAATGGTGCGCCGTTTGGCTGTTCAGTCATCTTCCTGCAATAATTATACATACAGAGTGACTCGCAGTACGACCGATGTTAGCAACAACATATTCAAATCGCCACTGTCACAAATAATATATAGTGGATTGAGAAGATTATAATCAGCTACTTTAGCTTGTTTTATCACCATTGGTAACAAGATTGATATGAGATAAAAATAGAAGTAACTTAAATTTAAAGAAGCATTATAGGGGACATTTCACTTCGGGGCAATCATACATTTGTGACATTATCAAAACATGTTCATTTCTACTTATACTACTC